TAATTTCTTCCTTAATTTTTTCTGTGACCCACTGATTATTCATGAGGGCATGGTTTAATTTCCATGTGTTCATATAATTTCTGTGGTTTCTTTTGCCATTGCTGTCTAGTTTCACTGCACTATGATCTGACAATATTCATCAGATGCTTTTTATTCTTCTGCATTTACTTAAGCATGAATTCTGGGCTAACATGTGGTCTGTTTTGGAAAAGTCCCATGTGCTGCTGATAAGAATGTATATTCTGCTGTTGAGTGAAACACTGTGCTGATACCTGTTACACTTGATCTTAGACAAAAGGCTGAGATCACTGTCTTCTATTCTGCAATTCTGTCCCGCATTGGTCACTTGGGCTCATACTTTGAATATAATTTTAGTCTCCTGGATTGCTGATTAAAATTTTTTCATAGACTCTAATTCTTTGCTAAATTGGTCTTTCATGTTTTGTATGATTTTATTTAGGTCAGGTAGTATTTTATTAGTGTCTTCTGAAATCTCCCTGATTATTTCATTACTTCTATTATCTGTTTAGCTATATCTTCTGTAATCCCCCAGAATGTAATCCCTCTGATCTGTTTTTCAATCTCCTCTGTTCTCCTTGTGAATGATTCTTGTGTGTGGCTTTTGCTAGTCTCTCCCTCAAAGCCCCCTGCATTGGCTTTAGGGTAGCTGGGAGTTCTAGAAGGCAATTTTCCCCCTGCTTCCGCTTACTTCTATAGCTTTGGTTGCTTGTTTGTTTTGTGTGGATCTTTATGGGCCCTTACATTGGAAAGACTTTGTTGCTGATATAGAGATCACTTTTAGTCTGCTTTTCAGTGGTGCACTGTGGTAGTGGTTAGCCATAGTTCTTTGCCTCTGCCCCAAGATCCAACCACTTCTGTTAATTTGGGAGAGAAGGATGCAGTTCATTTAGCCAAACTCCCAGTTCTCTGGGAATGAACCACAGTATTGTTAATATCACAAGTATTGTTAGTGTCACTGTATTGTTAATGTGGGTATTGGCATACAGAGAAAACCCATTAATAGCAACAATTATGCAACCAAGTCAGCTACAGTAGTATCATCCAGGACTTGGATATTGACATGCCATTAGACCCAATAATGTACCACCCTTAAACAGAGAAAATAAATCTGTAATTATAACATTAACACTAAGGGGCTGGGGATTTAGCTCAGTGGCACAGCGCCTGCCCCGCAAGCGCAAGGTCATGAGTTAGATTCCCGGTACCCGAAAAAAAAAAAAAATTAACACTAAATCAACTCAAGTATTGACATACAGCTAATATGTACAAAATGCAACACTATATCTCCACTAATGGTAAGAAAAGAATTCAACAGAAATTACATAGAATTAATTATCTAAGGGCTAATAAAGCTAAATTGTTAGACTATTACAGATGTAGGAGATTGGGAACAAGAGCATGCAAGAAGAAAACTTTGAAAATTTAAACTATAGGCAATGAGAAGGACAGAGAAGTGAGACAGAGGATCCTACTAAAGAGTGGAAAGATATGTATAGAATTAAGTAAAACTAACAAGAAAAACAAACAAAGTATAAAAGATAACAGAAAAAGGGAGAAAAAATAATATGGAAAGTAGAAATAAGGAAAAATTAAAAGGCAAAATGAAATGGGTACGAAGGAGGGGAAAAAACAGGAATGAGAGAAAAAGAAAGTTCAACATGGCTGAATAGAAAAAGAGCCACACTGGAGTTACTCAGAGAAAAATCCATTAAAAACACAGGTAATAGGAAGAAAGGGAAGGACATACATCCTCATGCTAAAAGCAGCCTGAAATAAGACTTGTAGATCAAAGAAAACATAGGCATGGTACTGTATACAATGGCCAAATAGCCAAAAGGGATTGCTGAAGAACCTCTGCCTCCCAGGGGCAGGAACTGCCTTTCTAGGATGTTCCCGCAAAATTGATAGACTACAATAGCATGATGAAATCAAGCCTCCAAAGAGAATGCTGTTATCAAAAAATCAACCAATAACAAATGCTGTTGTGGCTGTGGAGAAAAAGGAACCCTTGTCCACTGTGGATGGGAGTGTAGACTGGTGCAGTCACTGTGCAAATCCTTGTGGTGATTCCTCAAAGAATTAAAATTAGAGGTTTCATTTGACTCAGCTATTCCCCTTCTGGGTATCTTCCTTAAAGAATTAAAAGCTTCATACCATAGCAATATATGCACACCCATGTTTGTAGCAGTACAACTTGTAATAGCTAAATCCTGGAAACATCACAAATGCCCATCAACTAATGAATGAATGGATAAAGATTTTTTTTAATACAATACAGTAGTACTCAGCCATACAGAAGGATAAACTTGAGACATTTCTAGGTAAATCAGTGCACCTTGAGACCAAACTCAACAAATTGGACACAGGTGTAAATATCACATTGTTTCTCTAGTGTGAAAAACTGAAATAATAGATGTTGTGAAATAGGAAGAAAATGTTCAGATGGGAAGGGAAACTAGGGAGGGGGTTGGGGGAATAAAAGAAGGAAAAAGAAAAAAAGGAGAATAGAAGGAAAAAATGGAAAAAAGCTTTCATAAATAAGGGAAAAGAGGTTGAAAGGCAGGGAGGATAATTGGGAGAAAAGAAGAATCAAAATATATAGCCGGGTGTGATGGAGCATTTTGGAGGCTGAGGCAGGGGGATCGCCATGAGTTTGAGGCTAACCTCAAATCTACATGGTGAGACCTTGTCTCAAAAAAAGAAAAGTAATGCCAGGCTGGTGGCACATGCCTTTAATCCCAGCACTAGGGAGGCTGAGGCAAGAATATCACCACAGGTTCAAAGCCAGCCTGGGCTACATAGGGAGTTCAAGGCTAGCTTTGACTACATAAGAAGACCCTGTATAAAAAAAAGAAGACAAAGACCAAAAAGGACAAATAAAAATTCCCCAAACCCCCAAATACCAAGGAGGGGGGGAGGAAGGTTCCAAAAAATTTCTGTGCATTTTCGAATGAATAGTTTCCTTCCATGATCTGCAATTTTGGAGACTAGTAATTCTCTGTCTAGCCTTAAGGCCTGTTTTTCAAGGTACCCACACCATTTTAAAGGCTCCTTTGGTTTACCCAAGCTGTGGCAGTGTTCAAGCCAAGAGAGACCTGTCCCTTCTCAGCCTAGTAGATAAAGAAGGCAGTCAGACCCCAGATCCCTGCTGGATGCAGGCAGTAGGTCAAGGACTAAGATACTCAATGCTGAGACTTCCAAATCCAGAGGGATTCAAACCAGGGCTGGCCTCTGGCTATGCCTTTGTTTTTCCTGGCCAACCTCAAACCCATTGAGGAGTCTTTTTAGCCAGCTTCCTGGTTATGACTGTGTCCTGTGGCTGCTCTTACCAGCCACTGTGGGAAGGTAACACTGGGAACCCTGAAGTAAAGCCATCCCACAGCTGTTCTGAGTCTGATTCAAATACTTAACCCTTTCCTAGAATGGTGCCAAACCTTGCACTCTTTCCAGGGGACTATGCACAGGACCACTCTCCTGCTGTTGTCTGTCATGTGGAAAGACTCCTGTTGGAGCAAAACTCCTCACTATCCCCACAGCACTGTCCACTACCACTGTTTCTCTCTAGAACCCCATAGAACCCCCAGTGCTCACATTTCTTTGACAGACTCAGGTCCAAAAAAAAATGATGCAAACTTTTGTTCCCTTCCCTCCACTGTTGTCTATTTCTGCGGCATCTCTGTAGCTTTTAATTTTCCTGTCAGCTCCTTCCTGATTGCTGGGATTCTACTTTTCTTTTTCTCTTTCTTTCTTTCTTCTTTTTTTTTCCTTTTCCAATGTCCAGATTCCAAATCATAAGTCGAATTGCTGCTGCTCACCACTTGATCATTTTGGGGAAAAAAAAAAAAAACTATAGTTAGGTTTGTGTGTCATTTTGCTCTTTCATTTCTATTAGTTTATGCCTCTATAAGTGTAATTTAGTTTTTTTAAAAAAATACTTTTCAAGTCTCTCTCTTTTTAAATTTCTGTAGGAACAGGTAACTTATAAAACCTTGCTCCTTCCTGATCATCTTCTGACTTGTAAAATTAGTTGTAACAGAATAGGGCTCAGCTGAAGGTTAATTCCTAGGGCTAAGGCAATGCCTTTCTGATCACTCTACACAGCCTGCCTGATGGGAGTAGACACACTTCCTGGCACTGTGTAAGTACTTGGCTGTTTTCGCTCATCTTTTCAGATATCTCTCCTTCAGTCTCAGGTAGCTACCTGGCACATTTCTGCTGTTCCTCTCACACTTCACTATTCAAGGAGGACCCCCTGCAGATGTCCAGGGTTCTTTATACTACTCTTTGCTCTCTGGTTTCTATCCTGTGATCTCCATTTGCCTTGGTTTTACCAGATTCAGCTCAGTGCTTCTAGGATACTCAGCTTCAGTTCCTTCTCCTGTGTCATGGTCTGGGAAGTCTGTAGGCAGAGAGCTGGGATATTAGGAAGGGTTACCTCATTTGTTTCCTGCTGGTCAGGGATCATTGTCTTCATTACGTGAGGGCTGCTGTCTTGCAAACTGTTGTTTAATATATTATATCAGTTATGATTGTTTCAGACAAGAAGGTAAATCTTCTTGGCTATAAGCAGATTGCCACAGAGCCTCAGCAACTGCTATGGAATGAATAGCGTGGTCTTCATACTCTGCCTGACTGCTCCTTGTTGCCATCCATTTCTCAGTGCCACTATCTCTTCCCCCCAGGAAATCTTCCAGAGCCCACTATACATCATGTCCCACATATGATCACAGAACTTTGCTTAAAGCATCTGTATGAATTTCTAATGGTCATTTTTTTGCCTTTTTCAGTACAATTTCAGGTACACAAGAGTAGGGACTCGTGTGTTTTATCTACAGGGCTTCATATAATATGTTCCACCTTGCAGGCCCTCAGTGTACCTTTATTCACTGTATGGATGAGTGGATGTGAAAATAGAAAGTCCTTTATATGTAAATGATGATCATGTGTTTTATTTCTGTCTTGTTTTCTCCATGATACAGATTCTGTTAGCCTATTGAAAATCCAGAATGTACTTCAGTCATATAAAAGATTAATAGAATTTAAAATAAATCATTGTGAACTACTTAAAGGACAAATGGAAAAAATGGAAAATAGAGTCACTGGACTACAAAAAGAGCTTTCAGAAATAAAAGAAGTAAAATCACAATTAGAACATGAAAAAATAGAACAGGAACAAGAACTCTGCAATGTGAGGTATAATATCCTTGTTTTAAAGAAGTATTTAGACCATTCACTTTTCACTGCAGATAGGGGGATTTTTGTAATTGCTGACTTATCTTCTGAGGATTTCCAGGGCAGAATACTTCTTACTCTTTGGGAGTCTGAAATTTTTGGAAATAAGAAAACAAGTTGTTTACCATGACTACTTCTAATTATTAAATGTATATTCTTTCAAATTACAATTTTAATGACTATTTGGAAGCTCACCATATAGAAATGTCACTACTTAGCTAATAAAATTTTGGAGTTTTTAAAATTCTTGCCTTTGTATTACAATAAGTTATGCAAGGAACATCCTCTATATAAACCATTTTCTATATTACTACTATTTTTCTTTGAATAAATTCTTCAATTTAGAATTATTTGGTAAGTATAGGAAATTTTTTTAAACATTTTTTTGATCAGTATTTCTAAATTGTTCTCAAGAAAGTTAACAGTGATTTACACTTCCACCAAAAAAGTATAAAATGGCCATTTCTCTCATCCTAGAAAAAAATGTTTAAATATTTATATGGTTTTACTCTTTCTGTGTTGTGTGCAGTTTTTTGATTCCTCAAAAATCTAAAAATAGAAATTCCATTTGATCCAGCTGTTTCCCTTCTAGGTATTTCCTTAAAGAGTTAAAGGCTTCATATTACAGTGATATATGCATACCTGTCTTTATAGCTGCACAATTCATGACAGCATATATGTCCAGCAACAGATGAATGGAAAAAGAAAATGTAGTGTGTATATACAATGGAGTATTACTCAACCAAAAAGGATAAATTGGAGTTATTTGTGGGAAAATGAGTGTACTTTAAGACCACAGTGTTGTCGGGCATGGTGGCACATGCCTGTAATCCCAGCACTTGGGAGGCTGAAGCAGGAGGATCACTGAGTTCGAGGCCAGCCTGGGCTACATAAATAAGTTCAAGATCAGACTGCATTACACAGTGAGACCCTGTCTCAAGGGAAAAAAAGACTGCAATTTTAAATGAAATAAATCAGAAATGGAAGGTTAAATATCTCAGTTTCTCTTATATGAGAAACTCAAAGTAGAAATAATTTAAAGTACAAAATAAAAGACAGATAATAGGAAACACAGAGATAGAATCTTTGCAAATGGGAAGTGGAGATGGAGATGGAAAGGGAAGCAAGGGAAGGGGAAGGAAAAGTACAAAGAACTAAGATGTGTGATGTACATGAGCCAACTTCCTAGGATAAATGTAATTATGTACAGCAAACATGTAGTAAAAATTATGTCTTGATTAAAGAATAACACTGTGCAAAAGAGGGAGAATTTTGAATTTGTAACTTTACTGAGTGATTTCAAAATTCCTTTTCCATAAGATTTACCAGAGTTATTACTACCAGAAATTTCTCAAGAGCATGTTCATTAACTTTCAGATATATATGCTCTTTGGAAGAGATGAGGTAAGAAATTAAAAACATGAGAACTGGACAAGAAAAATATTTGCAAATACAGAAATTTCAGTCTGGAGATATAGCTTAGTGGCATAAGTGCCTGCCTGGCAAGCACAAGGTCATAAGTTCAATCCCAGGTATCACAAAAAAAAAAAAAAAAATATATATATATATATATATATATATATATATATATACATATATATATAAATTACACTAGTGTAATAAATCAATTTATGAAAAGGCATGTGACAAAATGAATATCTTATTTTTAATAAAATGTATTTTAAAATAAGTATATTTAAATGCAGATTTGCTTTAAAACAAGAAGAGGAAAAGAGAGAAACAGCTGATTTGCTCTGTGAAAAGAATAAAGAACGGTTAAACAGAAAAGAAGAACAATATAATAGAGAAGTTAAAGTAAACCAACAACTTAAAAACTCCCTGAGGATGCTAGATATGGAATTAAAGACTGTAAGAGATAATTTGGACCAGGTAAAGTAACTTTGTTAATAATTCCATGATTCTAACTTCTTGTCATCAATATTACTTATACTTGACATGTATAGTCAAGTGCCCCTTACTGATGGGAATGCCATCTGATAAATGTGCTGTTTTACAGCTTCATCATTGTGCAGATATCAGAAACATGAATTTCATAGATTTAAAACATCTGCCTCATCAAGAGGCCACAGACTCTTATCAGACCACTGTTGCAAGTGCATGCTGTTGTTGACACAAACGTTATGTGGCACATCACTGTATTATGTAGGTTTAAAACCAAATGTTATCTCACCCTAAAAATAAGCTATGATGTTTATAGCTAAAACTATTTACTGTAAGTCTTGGCATCTAATATAGATGCTGATTATGTTTTCTGAATGAAGGAATGGAAGGTGTATTGAGTTTAATCAATAACAAATGTTGAGGAAAGACTTCCAAGAAGATGGCAGAGTAGTAAGCAGCAACAAATCAACTTCTCCAAGATTCAGAATCCACATGATGGAAAGTAACACCTTCTGGAGGAAAAGGAGGAGGAAGATGGAGCCTCTGGACTCAGGAAGGATCTGAAGGAAAAATTGGAGCCCATAGAGAAAGTGAAGAGACAGACCTCAATGCAGAGAAGGAAAAGGGTAATCTGAAATTCCTCTTTGGCTCCTGGCTCAAGGTGTGAGAAAGGAAAATAAAATCTTCAGAACCAGAGTGAAAGTCATAACTCCAGAGACCTCCAGGGAGAAACACAGTAGTGGAATGGAACAGTGGATGCTGTGCCCTACAAATAGCTGGTGAGTGAGTCCTGTGCAACTGACTGTAGTGTGCTCTGGAGCCAGTGCTTGGTTGGACACCACTTTAGAGAGGGGCCAGCTGAAGCCAGGACTCAGCAGCTGGCTTCATTTCAGGGCTCCCAGTGTTAAAACCCACAATGACTGGGTGTGGGACAGCCATGGAAGACATACAGAGTCAGGGAGCCATGGACAAGCTGACACGAGACATCCAGAGTATTATAAGCTAAATGACTTAATCCCCAACCTCACAACCCCACAGAGGCCAGGGTCAGCCTAAACCTCTGTGAATTTTGAAAGTACCAGAACCAGCATTCTACCCTAACCCTACTGCAGGCTTTCTGGCTTTATGGAGCATGGATTTGGGCTCTGATTGCCTTCTTAGTCTACTTTTCATTATCAAATGAAAATTCTTATAAATAGCAAAGGACCATGAAAAATCAGTCCAAGGGCTGCTAGACAGTACAAAGGAGACTAACACAGGATTAATTGGAATCAATAAAGAATTGGAAGATAGAATACAGGGTGTAAGAAACCTGTTGACAGAAGTAGTAGCAAAAAGCTTTCCAAGCATGGAAAAAAGAATTTGACACATAAATAAGTGAGGCATATAGAACTAAAATTAGCCATGATTTAAAAAAAAAACAACTACAAGGCACATAATAGTCAGGATTCCAGAAATTCAAGACAAAAACAGTACTAAAAACTGTTAGAGAAAAGAAACAAATTACATATAAAGGAAAGCCCAGAGAAATCACAGCAGACTTTTCAACTCAAACCCTTAAGTCAAGGACAGCTTGGAGCAAAGTGCTTCAAGCACCAAAAGAGAATAACCTCCAACCCAGATAGATGTACCCTGCAAAACTATATTTCAAAATCAAGGGAGAAATAAAATACTTCTGACATGACAAAGAACAACTGAAGAAATTCATGACCATCAAATCAACTCCACAAAATATTCTGAAAGATATTTTAGAAAAAGACAACAATTTCAAGAATCTCAGTAGAATGAATCCACCAGGTATGGCAAGAAGTTAAGCAGAAGGAAAAGAAAGGGAGCCAGCAACACAAAAATAAAGAGAAGGGTAACTCAATACATATCCGTTATAACCATCAATGTAAATTCTCAGTTCACCAATCAAAAGAAACAAAAGGAAATACACATCAAGAAACAAGATCTAACAATATGCTGCATACAAGAAACACATTTAACTCAAAAGGAAATTCATAGACTGAAAGTCAACAGATAGAAAACAACACTCCATGTGACAGGAACCTGGAAAAAAAGCAGGGGTAGCTATTTCACTTGTAGACAAAGTAGATTTCAAGCCAAGACTGATCACAAGAGTTAAAGAAAGTCGCTGTATACTTAAGAGAAAAATCCAAGAGAAAGAGATAACAACCATAAATATATATGCACCAAATACCAGCACACCCAACCATATAAAACAAATACTGATGGATATGTAAACTCAGATAAGCACTAAAGGAATTGTAATGGAGAACCTTAAAAACCCACTGTAATGAAAATATTAGCCCATAGAACATCCTTAAGTGATTGCAAAGGAATTAAATTATACTGTGCATCTTACCAGATCATAGTGCAATGAAACTGGAAATCAATGGCATAAGAACAACAAAAACTACATAAGTGAAGAGACAACCCACAGAATTGGGAAAACTTTTTACCAGATTACTTCTCAAGGGATTGACATTTAGAATATATAAAGAACTAAAAAAAATCAGACCCCCTAAATGTAAAGACTCATTCCAAAAATTGGTGTCTGAAATGAATACACACTTCTCAGATGAAGAAGTATAAACAGCAAATAAACATATGAAAAATGCTCAACTTCAATAGTCATTTGAGAAATGCAAATTAAAATAACACAGATTTTATCTCACTCCAGGAAGAATGGCTATAGCAAAGAAATCAAAAACAAGTGCTGGTGAGGCTATGGGGGAAAGGGAACCCTTCTGCATTGCTGGTTGTGTAAACTGGTATGGAACAACCGCTATGGAAGTCAATATGGAGATTCCTCAAAAAGTGAAACTGAAGGTTCCATTTGACCCAGATGTTCCCCTCCTAGGTGTCTTCCCAAAAGAGTGAAAATAATCATACCATACTGATATATGCATACCCATGTTTATAGCAGCACAATTTATAATAGCTAAGACATGGAAACAGCCCCTATGTCCATCAACAAATGAATGAATTAAAAAATTTATTAATATACAATGGAGTATTACTGTGCCATAAAGAAGGATAGACCTGAGCTATTTGTAGAAAAATGGATGCACCTTGACATCATCATAATCTTTACAAAATAAATCAGACATGCAAGTTTAAATATCACATTGTTTCTCTTCTGGGAGGAACCCAAAGCATTAACAAAGAGGATAATAAGGGATAAATACTGGGAAATAAAAGAACATGTTCAAATGGGAAGGGGAACAAGGGAGAGCATAGGGGACAGGAAGGAGGTGGAAAGGAAAAAAGAAGAGAAAGGGAAAATGGAAACAAAGCTGTGAACCATGTGTCTCTTGATGTTGCTGGAGAAACACAGTGGGAGGATTTAGAAATAAAGGCAAGAGATGGAAGCTGAGGTCAGGTGGAGCCTTCTCTCCACATGGGAGGAAAGGAATCACCCAAGAACTGCAGAGCATTTATTTATACACTCAGGAGGTTGATGTCAGTTTCAGCCTCAGCCTAGCAAACTGTTTTCACACTGGAACAGCTTGTTCACATGGCTCAAGGAGCTCTCCATATTCTCAGGGCTGGCTTTCTCTCAGCTCTGCATGTGTGATTGATCTCCAGCTTCAGCTGCTCCCTCCATTTTGTAAGTTGGGAAAGGATAAAGGGTTGAAAGTAGGGGAAGGAAATGGGAAAAAAAGAATCAAGATATATTATGTACAGGTAAAAATTCTCTATGATGAGTGTGATCAATGTGTGTGACAAATATGTACTAATAAAAAATATAAAGTTACAAAACAGAAAAATATAAGTGTTGAGGAAGTTATATGTGAAAATAGATTTAACTCGTTTTGAAACTGTAATAAAACTAATGAAATATTTTGTAAAGAAATTTTATTACACAACATCATCTTGCCTTTACTGAAGAACTATTTTGCTCTTGACAAATTTACCTGTCACTTATGCAGTTAAAAGTTGAGTAATTCACATGGGGTAGGTTCTTATACTTCAGTAGTCCACTTCCTTGTAATACTTTGTTTTTGAAGCTTCCCTTCTTATTTACACTTTTAGCCATATTCCCCTCAGTCACATGAGACTAAAAGCTTAGAGGTTTCTCTGGATTTTAGAGGAATGACAAGACACTGAGGTATTTTTTCCTAGAATGTAGTGCCATAATATTATAAGAGGGGATTCCTGGAAAATCACCTTTGCAAGCAAAAGGAGATAGAAAAAAGCAAATAAAGGAAATGTATTCTTATTTTCTTTAGTTGCTTTCAGATATGTGTGTGTTATATATTTATATGTGCATGCATTTTAAAAAGCAACAAAAGTACATACTTTGGACGGTGACATTTTTTGCTCATGGAATAATGTTCTTGATTCAGGCCCCTTTGTCTACAGCAGCAAAGTAGGGACATTCATAATGGCCTCATCCGAAGAAAAGGCTTTTAATATCTTCATGGTAATTGCTAATTTGTCCATGATCTCAAAACTACTATCAGTAACCATAGACTTTCTAGTTTGGAACAGTGATTTCAATTTCTTGATATGCTAAAGTGGAGATGTATTTATTACTTCCACTACTAGGTAGGGAGAAAATAAAGGCTAGAAGAAACCATATTTTGATGGCGTATTCTTACTTTTGTGGCAAGTAATAGTTTGTTCCATAGATTCTACTGTTGCCATGCTGAGAATTGATAACAGTGATGTTGCAGGATCCATGCTTAGGCATGTTCTCTTTCACTGGGCTGCATCCTCAGCCCAAAAGCTTTGCTTTGGTTTGGGATTTTTTGTTTTGTTTTGTTTTGAAGTACTGGGGATGAAACTCAGGTTCTGATATATGCTGGGCAAGTGCTTTACCAAGCCACATCTTCAGTCCTGAATCTGTGTACACTTATTTCATTTATTTCAAGATAACTTTTGCAGAAAGGGCAGTATCTTTTTCTCAGAAATGAAAATGTGCCCCAGTGACCCACTAAGTTCCCAAGGTTGGTGATGCAGACACATGGCCTGGACCAGCCCAGGCAGAGACACCCAGTGCCCCACCAAGGCCCTAGTAGGGCACACACACCAGCAGTTGGTTCTTTGAATAGACACAAAGACCAACAACCACCTCCATCTAGAAGACATCCCTGAGGAACAGACATTTCCTAGTGAAGCCTGGATACTAGGGATAAAGCTATCTATCATAAGAAATCTACAAGCATAAACACAGAAAACAAAATAAAAGATAGGAAAAAGAAAATGACAAGATACAAACCAAAATGCTACCCCAGACCCGCATCCACCACAGGACAAGTCCAGAGCAAAGTGACACAGAGAACATCAGAAGCCAACCAGTAGAAATTTCTGAAATGATAGCAATAGAAGTGAAAAAACAAGGGGCTATAGAAAAAAATAATCTCTAAGTTGCAAAAAGAAATGATGATCAAAATGAAAGACATTAAAGCAGACACCAATTTTTAAAAAAGTAAAACAGTTTAGAAACATGATGGAAACCATGAATGCCCCACATAAAAAGAAATGAAATTTGTTAAACAGATCCAAACAGAAATCCAGGAGATTAACTCCACTGAAGGTATATGCAACAAATTGAATGAAGGAGATGGTAGACTATCAGCCCTAGCGGACCATGAAAAGAAAGATATCTTAAAGATAGCAACAGACCATGAAAAATCAATCCAAAAGCTACAAGATGAAGGAAAGAAGAGCAACATAAGATTGATTAGTGTTAGTGAGAAAGCTGGAGACAGTGCAAAAGACATAAGAAACCTCTTCACAGAAATGGCAGAAAACTCCCCAAACATGGATAAAAAATTTGACATAAAAATAAATGAAGCACATAGAACTCCAAATATCCATGAGCAAGATAAATCTAAACCAACAGCATATAAAAATCAAAATTCCAGAAATTCAGCTCAAGAACAGAATATTAAAAGCTGTTAGATAAAAGAGACAGATCATCGTTAAAGGCAAGCCCAGGAGAGTTACAGCAGACTTCTCAACAAAAACCCTCAAATCAAGGAGAGCTTGGAGTGAGGTATTTCAGGCTCTAAAACAACCATAAACTAAGATGGATGTACCCTACAAAACTATCTTTCAAAATCAATGGAGAAATAAGATACTTCCATGACAAAGAACAACTGAAGAAATTCATGACCACCACACCAGCCCTCCAAAATGCTCTGAAGGATATATTAGAAAGATAAAAACAAAGCCCACAAGCACGATAGCAACAATAGAAAGCCACCAAAAAGGGCAAGTCATTAAACTAATGGAAAAGACAGGGAACCAGCAACAAGAAAATAACATGAAAAAGATAATACATATCAGCTGAAACCATCAGTGTAAATTGTCCCAAATCACCAATCAAAACAGACTGGGAGAATGGACGAAGAAGCAAGATCCAACAATATGCTGCATTCAACAAACACATTTAACTCAAAAAGAATTTCATAGATTGAAAGTCAAAGGATGGAAAAGAATACTGCAGGCCACAGGAAGTCAGAAGATAGCAGGGGTAGCCATTCTATTTGCAGACAATGTGAACTTCAAGCCAAGACTGATCAGAAGAGACAAAGAAGGTCACTATATACTTGTTAAGGGCCAACTCCAAGAAAAAGAGATAACATCCATAAATATATATACACCAAATGCTGGTGCACCCAATACATAAAGCAAATATTAACAGACAAGAAAAATCAAATAAGCATTAACACAATTCTAATAGGGGACCTTAATACCCCACTCTCACAAATAGATCAACTAGAGAAAAAAATCAACAGAGAAATGTCAGAATTAAACCAAACCTGTGAACAAATGGACTTAATAGATGTCTACAGAGTGTTTGACTCCACAACCTCAGAATATGTATTCTTCTCAGCTGCACATTGGACAATTTCCAAAACAGACCACATATTAGCCCATAAAACATGCTTAAATAAATGCAGAGGAAATGAAATCACCCCGTGTATATTATCTGACTATAGTGCAATGAAATTGGAAATCAACAGCAAACGAAATCACAAAAACACATGGATGTTGAACAACACCCTCCTGAAAAACCAGTGTGTCATAGAGGTAATTAAAGAAGAAATTAAACAGTACCAACAATTAAATGGTAATGCTGATACAACATACCAAAACTTGTAAGATGCAATGAAAAGCACTCCTAAGAGGGAAATTTATAGTGATGAATTCTCACATCAAGAGAGTAGAACGAGTTCAAATACACAACCTAATGTTGAACCTCAAACTTCTAGAAAAAGAACAACAAATAAAGCCCAAAGCTTGAAAGAAGGCAGAAATTATAAAGATAAGAGCAGAAATTAATGCAATTGAGACTAAGAAAACAATACAAAGAATCAATGAATCAAAGAGTTGATTCTTTGAAAGATTCAATAAATAGCCAACCTCATCAGAGGAAAGAAAATCTCAAATTCAAGCAATTACGAATGAAAAGCAAAAAATCACAATGGATCCTGCAGAAATCCAGAAGATCATCAATGCCTACTTCAAGAACCTGTTCTCTAATAAAATGGAAAATACAGAAGAAATGGACAGATTCCTTGAAACATATGAATTGCCAAAACTGAAACAAGAAGATATAAAAATTCCAAATAATCTGCTATCAGTTAATGAAATTGAAAATGTAATTAAAAACTTACCAACAAAGAAAAGCCCTGGTCAAGATGGATTCACTGTTAAATTCTATGAAAATTTTAGAGAACTAATGTCACTAATGTTGAAACTCTCTACTGAAATTTAAAGAGAAGCAATACTTCCAAAATTATTTCTGGAAGCAAGTATTACCCTGATACTCAGGGGCTGGGGATTTAGCTCAGCGGCAAAGCGCCTGCCTGGCAAGCGCAAGGTCGTGAGTTCGGTTCCCAGTACC